TAGGGACCAGAGGAGTCGCCCCCTGGTGGTTACCAGTCCTCTCTTATGATCGATACGTATCTTACAGCATAGTTCTAGACGGTAGAAACCATGTGGGAGGGAGCCACAGCCGAAGAGATAAACTTCAGCCCTTCGTCTTCTCTCTGTTTACCATGAAGACCATGAATGTCACATCCATCACCAGGAACTAACCAAACGAGCTCAGGAGGGAACAGATGCTGTTTGGTCGGCTTCCATACAAACAGCAATAAATGATCATTAGTCACGCTCGTGTTTACTCACGCTGGTGAGATGCAGACTCCCAGTGGGGGGGCGAGGACCTCTCAGCGGCCGTCATTCATTAGGCCACGCCCCTTCAGCCTGGTGGGGGGGCTTTTCTCTCCAATCCGTGGAACCCGGCGACCTCAGAAGAAGAAGTAGCAGCAAATCAGTCAGAGCGACGGGCTCGAGTAAACAACAACAACAACAGCTGCTCCTCATGCAAGTCAGCAGAGCAACGAGACGCTTTATTCTGCTTTTTACGAGGAGAAATGTTTTATTCCTCTGCAGCAGCTCTTCCGTGATTCCTGCACATTCTGTTGATCTCAACAGATTTATTCCTCTAATGAAAGAATGTTCATCCAGCATCTTAAATAAATCGTTTGATTTATTTAACAGAATATTTTTTTCTTTTAGAAAAAATTATAAACAATTAATAAATCTTCAAATTGATTCTAATTATTTTTGATGTAAATTGACAAATCAATAATTCAACTATAGAGTTTTTAATTAAATATGTTCTCTTAGTGGATGTCTGACATTTGGACTTTTTATGAGGACTCAATGTGCAGTTTCCTGGATATTCAACAAATCAATGAGTTGTTACTACAAGAACCTTTGGAACAAATGCAATTATTTAAGCACTTTAAAGGTGATTTATGAGAAGAAAACGTGCAAGAAGATGAAGATTAACGAGGAGGAGATAAGAACTTTTCCAATAAACAATGAGTGTTTAAACTTGTTTCATTTAACTTTATTAAACACCAGCAATGACAATGGAATAATTAGAATTATGACAAAACTACATTTATATAATAGCCTCTCTACCAAATGTTTTAATCCTTCTGGATCTAATTGATGCATTTTATGAGGAACAGTTGGCCAGAGAGGGAACAAAGACCAAAAACACAATCGATGATCCAGCGAGAGTAATATAGGATAATAAATCAAATATGTATAAATACTAAACGACAACACTGAAGCACATGCGACTTTTCTCTCTCAGATCCAGAAGGACGTTCCGTCTCTTTCACAGCTCGTTTTTCTTGATCTGTCCTCCAACAGACGCCGTCCTCCGCCCGTCAGGACAAATAGCCACGGGTCCTTGAGGATGTTGTGACGGCTTCAAAGAGGACGAAAGGCAACAAGAACAAAGAGAGTAAGAAACATGAAAACATCTGCGGACACAAAAAAGCCAAGAAAGACAATTCAAATATATCACATCTGTCCAGAAAGAACAGGAGTAGTTGTTACAAACAACAAGTCCACGAAGAGACGTCCCATTGAGACAGTGAGAGTGTCCATATTAGCCACAGCAGTGAAGCGCATCCTGATGGGAGGTCTCCTCCCCACCGACTCCCTGGACATGAGACGCTTTGACTGCAAAATAATGTGAATATTTTAGTTTGGGGAGCAGATACACACGCGGGGGAGTTATAACACAATAATAATTATAACAATTAATTCACCATTAACAATAATAATAACAACACAATAATAATAATAACAACACTATAATAATAATAACAACACTATAATAATAATAACAACACTATAATAATAATAATAATAACACTATAATAGTAATCAAGCTTCACCACAACTAAAGACTTTTATTCACGTCGTGTGTGTCTGTGTGTGTGTGTGTGTGTGTCTGTCTGTGTGTCTGTGTGTGTGTGTGTGTGTGTGTGTGTGTCTGTGTGTGTGTGTGTGTGTGTGTGTCTGTGTGTGTGTCTGTGTGTGTGTGTGTGTGTGTCTGTGTGTGTGTGTGTGTGTGTCTGTGTGTGTGTGTCTGAGTGTGTGTGTGTGTGTCTGTGTGTGTGTGTGTGTGTCTGTGTGTGTGTGTGTGTCTGTGTGTGTGTGTGTGTGTGTGTCTGTGTGTGTGTGTCTATCTGTGTGTGTGTGTGTGTCTGTGTGTGTGTGTGTCTGTGTGTGTGTGTGTGTCTGTGTGTGTGTGTCTATCTGTGTGTGTGTGTGTCTGTGTGTGTGTGTGTCTGTGTGTGTGTGTGTGTCTGTGTGTGAAATTAACCCGCTGTATGAAATTAAAATGTCTCTTATTTTATGAAAAAACAACAACACAAATAGATCTGCACAATAATCAGTGATGAAAGTAGTTATTGGTTATTAGTTTTTTCTCTTTGGATTAACATGCAACAGAGGCGATGAAGAAGAAAGGCAGATGACAAACGGGGGCAACTGAAGATAAATATCATGAGCAGAAAAACATGTTTCATTTAAAAAAAGGACGGGACTACATGAGGAGAGATGATCAAAACACACAGAGAGGAGGAGGGACAAAGGGTAAGTAAGTAAGCAAAGGTGAATGAAAGGGGAGATTTAGGGTTAAAAGCATGTTGCCGTGGTGATGCTTGACATCAATGGAGGATGACGGCTACGATCCACACAAAGAGCCCAGTGTGATTCTGTGGACATCCATCTATGTCGTCTTATCGGTCTTGTTGTCCGTTGTTTGTCTGACATATTTTGGTAATAAATGAATCCTGATTCATAGGTATCGACCTTTTATTCCGAATATAAAGTGTGGAACCATTGATTGTACCAAGAGGTGGGAGCAGACCGGACTCAAGCGTCTCCTCCTTCATGGTCTGTTCGATTCCAAATCACATATGTCAAACTCATCTTTGAGTTGACACCCCTGTTCTATATGGACCATAATTCACTAAATGAACATCATGTTGTGTTGAAGAAGACTTGAAACTAGAGACTGAGACCATGAACTCATGTTTACAACGTTTACTGAGGGAATAAATCAGGAGAGAAGTAGAGTCATTTCCTCATAGACGTCTATGGGAGCAGAGGAGTCGCCCCCTGCTGGTCACTACAGAGAAGTAGAGTCATTTCCTCATAGACGTCTATGGGAGCAGAGGAGTCGCCCCCTGCTGGTCACTACAGAGAAGTAGAGTCATTTCCTCATAGACGTCTATGGGAGCAGAGGAGTCGCCCCCTGCTGGTCACTACAGAGAAGTAGAGTCATTTCCTCATAGACGTCTATGGGAGCAGAGGAGTCGCCCCCTGCTGGTCACTACAGAGAAGTAGAGTCATTTCCTCATAGACGTCTATGGGAGCAGAGGAGTCGCCCCCTGCTGGTCACTACAGAGAAGTAGAGTCATTTCCTCATAGACGTCTATGGGAGCAGAGGAGTCGCCCCCTGCTGGTCACTACAGAGAAGTAGAGTCATTTCCTCATAGACGTCTATGGGAGCAGAGGAGTCGCCCCCTGCTGGTCACTACAGAGAAGTAGAGTCATTTCCTCATAGACGTCTATGGGAGCAGAGGAGTCGCCCCCTGCTGGTCACTACAGAGAAGTAGAGTCATTTCCTCATAGACGTCTATGGGAGCAGAGGAGTCGCCCCCTGCTGGTCACTACAGAGAAGTAGAGTAATTTCCTCATAGACGTCTATGGGAGCAGAGGAGTCGCCCCCTGCTGGTCACTACAGAGAAGTAGAGTCATTTCCTCATAGACGTCTATGGGAGCAGAGGAGTCGCCCCCTGCTGGTCACTACAGAGAAGTAGAGTCATTTCCTCATAGACGTCTATGGGAGCAGAGGAGTCGCCCCCTGCTGGTCACTACAGAGAATGCAGCTTTGTCTTCACTTTGAGGAACCAGAGGTTGTTGACAAAGACTAAACACAGCTGAGATTTTGTGTCTTTTATCTTTAGACGAGGCGGATTGTGCTTCTGGACCGTTCTCCTTCCTTCCTGTGTGTGTGTGTGTGTGTGTGTGTGTGTATGTGTGTGTGTGTGTGTGTAATGAGGTTCAATGACATATTCATGTTCTGCTAATCTCCATTCTGTGGTTTTCTGCATGATTCTTTTCTTGTCCTCATCAACGTCTGATAGGTGGAGGAGGAAGTTTGAGTGTAAATGTGTGTTTGTGTCGGTCATGAAGGAACTCTCCATCCCTCCTTCATCACAGCGACAAAGTTAAGAGGCTCTGCTGCTGATTTCTTCTTTTTTTGCAGCAGCCATCTTTGTTTTGGGCTTCATGCTGCTCAGACGCTCAGATGATATGACGGCTTCTCTTCTGCTGCCGTCCATCACACAATCAAGAACGATAGCAATGAGATATTTAACTTTTGGCCCAGAAATCAATCAACAAATGAACGAGCCAGCCAATCACAGTCAGCCAATCACAGTCAGCCAATCACAGTCAGCCAATCACAGTCAGCCAATCACAGTCAATCACAGTCAGCCAATCACAGTCAGCCAATCACAGCCAACCATTCACAGTCAGCCAATCACAGCCAGACAATCACAGTCAGCCAATCACAGTCAGCCAATCACAGTCAGCCAATCACAGTCAATCACAGTCAGCCAATCACAGCCAACCATTCACAGTCAGCCAATCACAGCCAAACAATCACAGTCAGCCAATCAGTAGGCCAATCACAGCCAGCGAACAACAGCACCTGTTGTACTGTGGTACTTCCTGCTGTACTACATCTCAGAGGTACATCTCGTACTTTGTACACCCACACACATTGAAAGTTATTTTACGTTTTAAATGTATTAATAAATGCATAAAAAGAACATTTATTAGTTTAGTGTTAGTTTCCCATCCTGTCGAAACACCAAACGATAAACTTGTCTAAGCATTTGAACACTCATAACAAAATAACTTTCTTTCTTCGGCTTTTTGTTTGTTATTTTATTATCTCGTGAACGTCCCAAAAATGTTAAAACCGTTTTTACCTTAATCAAACATTAATCAGATGTCACACCTTTCAGTCTGTAGATTACTTTTATTTTCAAGCATTCTGCTTCTCAGCAGCATCACAGAGGGTCTCAGCCAATGACAGACGAGGGCAATAAATACGAGCCAGAGCAGCAGGGAGCCGTGTCGGCCAATCACAGCGGGGCTACACTACCTGCCCCCGGACACCAGAACAGGAAGTGATGTCACGGGTTTGAGGCGGATGCGATCAGTGGAAGGAAGCTGCATTTAGGTCACATGAGAGACGGTTGTTCAGAACACTTCTTTTCATTTATTTAAACTAAAACTTCATTACAGGAAATTCATCTGAACTCCTCAAACCTCCTGAAAGTAAAAGCAGTTTTAGTTTCCCTGATGTGACATAAATGCAGCAGTTTGAGCAAAGAAAGACAGAATAAATCTCATGAATATTAAACACAAAAACACAGAAAATCAAACTTTTTCTTTAGAACGAGACGTCACGTTGTCTCCTTACGGTTGTTTAAAGTGCATTTTTCAGAATGAGAAACTTTTTCAAGGTCACATGTCAGTTAAGTCATATTAATAATAATAATTACAGTGAGTAAGACTTTGTACAGTTTAGCACTTAAATAAGAGTTAAAACATCTCCAGAATTATTGCACAGAAAAAAACAGCAGGGTTTTTGTTAATATAAAATACCTGTATACCTTCAAGTTTTCAAAATAAAAGAATATCCTCAAAACAACACAATTACAGGACACAGCAGAGTGGATATACTGTAGAATGATACCGTAGATACATGAGTGCATTATTCGGATTATTCCAGGTGTAGCTGAGGAGATTAGATACAGTGAAATATTATTGGGAACAAAGCCTCTTACTGTAAAAATTCTCCACTGAGAATGTTTGATTTATACAGCTCTGCAAATTCATAACCACTGTATTTATTTTTGCTTTTTTTTATTTATGCTTCTGTGACACTCACACTTCCTGCCTGAATGTAGGGTTTGACAATAAAAGCCTCAATAAGCTCTCCTTGCTTTGAAAGGCTTTTATTGTGAAAAATCTCCAGAAAGTAGTGTGGTGAGGGATTAAAACCATAATTTAATTAATTAGTGGGTGAATGAATGACAAAAACAGGAAATGTTCAGTCTTCTACCTTGTGTTTAGTGAACTTAAGGATTCACACACCAGATCCTTTCAAAGTTAAAGAAAGACAAATTCAATAACAAATTAAAATGTCTATATAACTTAAAAGCAGAGTCGGGGGTCGAGTAGTAAACAATAATAGTCTCATATCAGTTTTTATCAAATAGAGGACACAGGATATAATATCGGTTCAACAACCAAAACCTTTGAATAGTTTCAGTTTCTTCTTCGTTTCAAAGAGAAAATGACTCAAAGATCAATTGAGTGTTAAATTGACATTTTTTCCTCCAGCTGTTATTTGCAACAAAGTTACAACAATAATAATAGTATTTCTAATTTGTAATTACAGCAGGAATTCTTTTGGGGATTTTCTGCAGAGCCACAGAGCCTAGCTGCTGCCTTGCTCCAGGGCACGCAGGCAGACCGGAGTACGTTGCATATTTTCATTGCATATTTCCTCCTGACAGAAGATCGCCGGTATGAACACGAGGGAGTTTTACCGCAGAGTTAAGACACTAAACCAAACTCTTCCTACTCTGAGGTTTGACGCTAACTGACCCGGAGTCAGCAAACGGTTTCCGAACAGTCCGAAAACACTACGAGTAGAAGTACACAAACTAACAAAAGGTGAAAGTACCAGGTATGCTACGTTGTCCTATACTACTGAACCATGTTGGATCAATATGCAAGCATCACGATAATATAATAAGATGATTTGACGTAGTTGCAGAAGGGACAGGAAGTCTGGAAATGAGCCAAACAGGAAGCCATTTAGTCAGGAAGTCAGACAAACAGGAAGTCATTTAGTCAGGAAGTCAGACAAACAGGAAGTCAGACGACGTTACCTTTTTGTAGGGGGTGTAAAATAACGTGTGTGAACCTTTATTCTCAGTGCCAAAACATTAACAATAAATAAGTTTAAATATCTCCGACTTTAGGGAGACAGGAAGTTATCAAAGAGTGGCTCTTGGGTTTGGGGAGGCGGGGCAAGCCTGAATGGGCGGCCCCCATTCCCACCTTGACCTGGTCGCCCGCGGGGTCACGGGACGTCCCGGAGGTCGGTCTGGAGGTTGTAGGCGGGAAAAGGTTTAATTTGGAGGGCTGGGGGGGGCGCAGGGATCTGACGTTGACTCTTTTTCTCCCTGCTTCCTCCTTCCTTGCTCCCTTCCCTTCCTTGGGCACGAGGGCGGGGATCTGGGGGCGGGTGGAGGCGGAGCAGGGGTCAGCTAGAGGCGGAGCTTGGAGCGTCACTGGTTCCTGCTCGTCCCGTCTGGGGGGGTGAAGTACATGTGGCTGAAAACAAAAGAAAAGACTATTGAAACATTTTACGAGAACAATAATCTGAATATATTCAATCTGATGATGATTTAAACAGTAAAAAGTATAGAAATATCTTTATTCCTTAAATGTTCAATAAGAATTGAGTTGGTTGGACATTTTAATAACCGATAATTGACATGAATGATCATGCTTCTGAAGTTCTGAGGTACCACGATTTACTTATATTTGATACATTCCAGAAACAGGAGTAAACGTGTAAATAAAGTCCTGACTTCCACGAATGTCCTCATTCTATTTCCAAAACCTTTCAAAAGAAATTGGAGAAAAAATTATCCAATTGAAGGGAAAAAATAAGTGATTTTGGATAAGAGATTAAAATATTTTAGAACATTTCTTGAGTCCTGCACTGTGTGTGTGTGTGTGTGTGTGTTCACTGCTGCCTTGAATCTCGACATGTTTCAGAACATCTGGTGCAGCAGAGGACAATGTGGAAACATCTGGAGGACAGATTGCTGGTTGTGTGGTGAGCAGCGACACGCCTGGCGGCCGGCGGTACTGCAGGCGCCTCGTGTCATTAACTCTATGAAGTGCAGCAAATCGCTTCATTTAATGTTCTTATTTAGCTGTTCACTTATCTTAGTAATATAATATCTAATATACGCTGATACACTAGGGAAGCTTTTCTCTTGGTCGTCATTGGTTTATTTTAGTTTGCAGTTGTTTGTTTGTTGGTTTGTTAATGACTTATTCTATGGTACGAGTAGGTAGAGGACCAGCATGCACTGGGGCGGGCCCCCGGCGCTCCATCAGAGCAGGAGAAGCTGCTCTTTTGTCTGGTAAATAAATCAGAGACGTGGACAACGAGGTGTGAATTTAAGGAGAACGCAGCCGTCTTCCTCTGATTGATGGTGTTTGCACAATAACTGATGAAGTACTTTACACAACCACACTCAGAACACAACATCAAGTATGGATTTAATACCGTACCACGCTGTGTCACGGAAGTAAAGCACTAAGTTTTCCACTCCTGGACGAGAGGAAGAGGAAGAGGAAGGTTAGAGGAAGGTTAGAGGAAACAAGGGAAACAAACTCAGATTCATCAACTGTTCCAAACAGAATGGAGGCCAGGAAGAAGGAATATGTAATACTAAATATTATACACTATATTTAAGGCCCACGTGTCATAATGAGGAAGTATGGATATTATATAAATATATATATATATATATATAATAAAATAATATTTAAGGCCCACATGTCGTAAAGAGGAAGTATGGATATTATATAAATATATATTATAAAATAATATTTAAGGCCCACGTGTCATAATGAGGAGCAGATTTGAGTCGAACTCCACTAAAGTTCGTCCTCATAAATAATAAAATAAAAACACCCAACATAATTCTAGGGTGAAATTTGCGTCGTCTCGTCTGACCTCTGACCTCAGGGACTATTCAGGGTTACAATAAGACTCACTTTTTCTAGCGAGGTGGGGGGGGATGCTGGGCTTCGGCCTCACTCTGTAAGGTCTGGAGCGCTGATACTGCCAAGGAGGAGACAGGAAGGGAGCAGGAGGAGGAGGAGCCTGAGGATGGCCGAGAGGAGGAGACAAAGAGACGGGTCATCACACCAGGAGGACAGAGAGGAGGAGACAGGGGAGGAGACAAAGACGGGTCATCACACCAGGAGGACAGAGAGAGGAGGAGACAGAGGAGGAGACAAAGAGACAGGTCATCACACCAGGAGGACAGAGAGGAGGAGACAGGGGAGGAGACAAAGAGACGGGTCATCACACCAGGAGGACAGAGAGGAGGAGACAGGGGAGGAGGAGGAGACAAAGAGACGGGTCATCACACCAGGAGGACAGAGAGGAGGAGACAGGGGAGGAGGAGGAGACAAAGAGACGGGTCATCGCACCAGGAGGACGCAGAGGCGTCTCTATCCTGATGTTTTTCTTCTCCTCCTAATAGTTCAGAGCAGCAGAAACCTCCTCAAGCGCAAGCTGCTCTACATAAACTACATTACCCAGAATCCCCAGCAGGGGACACGAGCGGAGCCGCCGCTCTATCGACATAACGACTTCTTGAGAAGAAAGTTATCAAACTGAAATAAAGCCGAATAAAATATTATGCTTTTTATTTTGTCCTCTTGTGTTTCCAGAAGTAAAAGAAAGACAATATAAGATTAAATTATAATCAGAATGTATGGCTCCTGTACAGTGTGTGTGTGTGTGTGTGTGTGTGTGTGTGTGTGTTCTTCGGAGTTTGTCTCCTTATGGTTGAAATGCACTTATTCGTCGCTTTGGATCAAATGCTAAATGACGTGTGATGGAATGTCTCTCACAGTCGTCCCCCTCCACGGTGTCTGCGTCTCCACGCTGTCTCTCTCCTCCACACTCGTCTGTGTGTGTCGGTCCTTCCGTCCCGTCGTCTCCTGGCAACGACACCCAGTAGTCGCCGTGGGAACAGCCTGCTCACAGGGAGACAGGGGCACTCGTAAACATCAGCGCCATGAAGACGAAGAAGACAAAGGAGACACATACCAGCTGCATGGTGAGGTGGGCGATGGTTCGATCTCAACACCTCAGCTCCTCTCTGAGCTGCTGCACCTGCTCCAGAGATCCTACACACACACACACACACACACACACACACACACACACACACACACACACACACACACACACACACACACACACACACACACACACACACACACACACACACACACGGCTTCAGAGTCTCGCCCACAATGACATCACACGCCGACATGAGTCAGGCTTCATAACGAGCATCAGTCCATCTTCCTGTTCTACCTCGTTTTAAGACAACCACAGGAAACGGGACTGTGGGCGGAGCCTGAATGCAGCATCATGCCGCTTCAAATTGACGCTGTTTGTCAACCTCGGCTGTGTGAATAAAGGTTGAGGGATTCAAACCTGCGTGAGAGCGTCGCTGGTCTCTGGGCTCAGCGTGTCCGTGGTCAGAGTGTCCTCGTCCACGTCCTCCTCCTGCAACACACGCAGCAGGACACGGCACAGGTTAATCTATTCCACCAGAACACCAGAAGCTCCTCCCCCAGAAGGTGGAGACACCTTTAAGGACATGAAAGAACTGGGAGGAGCTAAAACCCTTCCTCACGGCTCCTCCCCCTCACCTGAAGCAGCAGCCTCTGCAGGTGCTCCAGCTGGGACCTGACTGCAGAGCAGTCCTCAGCCAGCTCCTCCACATCCACACCCAGACCAGGGGAACCAGGAGACCTGAGGGGGTGGAGGACAGAGACAGTGAGCCAGGTGAATGCATCTGGGCGTGCTGCGTTCAGGGACTGGTGTGATACAGGGAATACCGGCGTCAAGTAACCCAAACCGAAGGATGATCTCTGTCATGGGAAGGTCTGTCTGCTGAATGCTGAGGGATCATTATTGGTTACTGAAGATAATAACTGAGGACGTGTCTTTTGTTGTCACCTTTGGAGACAAAGGTCCAGGATGAGGTCGCCGTCTCCAGTCGCGTCGGTCCTCATTTTCCCAGAATCCTCAGTAAGCTTGGAGCAGTGGAAGTCACTGAGAACATGATGCATTATGGGTAAGCTGCTACACATATTGTATTCCTCACACATGTAGATACGTTCATCTCGTTAAGATTCAACATAATAGACATATTGATCATACAGCTGCATCAGCGTCTTTAGTCCCAGTGAAAAATATTTCACAAGGAAATCTTGTAACTTTCTTGAAGCATTTTATTGAGCAAAAGGACTTGGTGGAAAAAAGGGAGCGTCTTAAGTCTCCTGAACATTCTGCCTGTGAAATACCAAAATGCAGCGCTGCTCATCGGTGGTGGTGTTTTCCTGCCTCAGCACTGACCTTTCGTTGTCGTTGTGGACGTCCTGCGTCCCCCAGCAGAGCTGCCTCATCCTCCACTGAGCCATGTGGGCGACACCCGCTCCATCTGCAGGTTCACGCCACAAGGGTTAGTTAGCATGATTAGCATAACCAACACTTACTGAACCTTTTCAGTTACCTGTAAGCTAACGTGATCTAAACTGTTTAGCTCCTAAAGGGACGCGTTTGTAGATCACGAAGGTGTCTGTGAAACACCAAAATACAAAGTCTAAAATGTTACTTTGTGATGGACATTTATCATGTCGTTATTACCGAAAGTGTTGTGTATTTTTATGGCTAACAACTTTTGCCTGGTTTGAATGAATATCTTTTGGCGGGATCTCCAACCGTTGACTGTACAAACACACCGCTGTGCAGCGAGGCGTCTTCTGGGAGGTCTTCATCCAGCATGAGGTCATCATCCTCTAGGTCACATGAGTCCAGGTGGTTCAGGACGTCCTGAGAGACACAGATATAAGCTTAATGCTACCAGGTCCGCTCAGCTTCACACGCTCACAGGAACGTCCTGAGGGCTTTGCTTCCTGCCGGTGAAGCCGGTAGACGCTGTGTTTTGGGACGTTAAAGAAAATATATAAGAGGAAAAATATCAATGTTAAATGCAATTTGAGTTCAATTTTTTTTTACAAGATGACACAGAAAAAAAAAACGAATCCCTGAACAAACTCACAAAAGGAACAAAAATCAAAACCAAGTTCTTCCTCCTCTTTTGTGAAGCTGCAGAAGGACGTCGATAACAGGCGAAGAGACCTCCACCTTTGTGTGGAGAAGGTCTGCGGATCGATGGCGTTCTCGCGTCCGGCTCTATTTGCACGGTGGAGGAAGCGGTTCGATTCTCATTTCATTCTTACATTTTAAGAGCCTGAATGCACAATGAATGTGTGGTTGCTTGTATGCTTAGTCCTCATTGGCCATGCAAAGAACAATAAGAACTGTGAATAGATTAAAAAGAATTAACTAATTAATCACATTTTGAAATGCAGCAAACCTTTGATTAATCGCGATTTGTTTCTTCTAAGTATATAATCTTATAAGTAACGAGTAATCACTTATAAAACGTGTATTTTAGACACTGTCACTACACAACGAACCAAAATACAAACATGATCATCTGGGAGGCAGAATTCCACGACTGGAACATGAACTAGCGACTCTTCCTACGCTCCTCGTGCACTTTGCACTTTTCCTCTCAACGGTCCATCATTTGATGTCTCCCCACATTTAGCAGCGAGTTTTCAGAGGGACACAGTGGTGTCCTCTGCAGACTGTGTGCCGCGCAGAGTAACATTAGATTAGATGTTGAGATGGAAGTAGCCTAGTAGCTAGCTTAGCATAGCGGTGCATAAAGTGGTCCGTTTGCCACTCACCCCCCTCTGTTTGACCGATGGAGGAATCCACAGTTCTCTGTTGTGTGTCGCGCCTCTCTTCGTTTTACTTCTAATGCGTCCTCTCTACCCCTGCGCCACGATGATCCCGGTTTTGTTTACTGGGTCAACTCGCTTAGGGCTTGTTCTGAGGTTCTTATCTGAAGCTGGTGTGTTGTTACCTACAGACGTTGAAGGGGATGTTCTGCTCTCGATGGGGACAGAAAAAAACGAGTTTGGACGACCTTAGGCTTAGACAAGGAGGCTCATGGGAATTGTGCTTCACTGATTCGCACAGGACCTTATCATCTTAATCTTAATTTAAAAAAACAAGATGCTTTTATAGGCACAGTCACGGCAATTGTTAAATCCGTGATCCCATTTTTCCTCTTTTAAAATGAATTATGTTAAGACAACACAATATGAATAAATATCCTGTTATATTTTGTTTGTCCTCAACTATTGCATCACAACCTTAATATGTAAATTCAATGAAAAGACTTCTGATGTAGTTCAGACACTCGACAGCAGAGGGAAGCAGAGGATTCAGGTTCTAATGAGGTGAAGCACTTAGCTTCATTTTAAATGTTGTTCTACATCTGTGAAAAGGCTTCATCTCAGGAACACTTAGTTCATCTTCTGGCTTCACATATTTTATTCTTGTTAATAATACAAGACATGGATCACAAGTACACTCAATAAGGAACTAATTAAGTACCACAAAGACGACCACAAGGAGACACGTAACGGCCACAAGGAGACACGTAACGGCCACAAGGAGACACGTAACGGCCACAAGGAGACACGTAACGGCCACAAGGAGACACGTAACGACCACAAGGAGACACGTAACGACCACAAGGAGACACGTAACGGCCACAAGGAGACACGTAACGACCACAAGGAGAAACTTAACGACCACAAGGAGACACATAACGGCCACAAGGAAACACGTAACGACCACAAGGAGACACGTAACAGCCACAAGGAGACACGTAACGACCACAAGGAGAAACTTAACGACCACAAGGAGACACGTAACGACCACAAGGAGACACGTAACGACCACAAGGAGACACGTAACGACCACAAGGAGACACGTAACGACCACAAGGAGACACGTAACGACTACAAGGAGACACATAACGACCACAAGGAGACATGTAACGACCACAAGGAGACATGTAACGACTACAAGGAGAAACTTAACGACTACAAGGAGACACGTAACGACCACAAGGAGACATGTAACGATCACAAGGAGACATGTAACGACTACAAGGAGACACGTAATGACCACAAGGAGATATTTAACGATCACAAGGAGACTTGTAACGACTACAAGGAGACACGTAACGACCACAAGGTGACACGTAACGACCACAAGGTGACACGTAACGACCACAAGGAGACGCGTAACGACCACAAGGAGACACTTAACGGCCACAAGGAGACACGTAACGGCCACAAGGAGACATTTAAGACCTCAAAGAAACATTTAAGACCTCAAAGAAACATTTAAGACCTCAAAGAGACACTTGTACTACGAGGATCACTACTTTGTAAATGGAGCGTTGGAGGACAATTGAGACTTCTGGGTCCTTCGGTGTGAAACGAGACGTTTGTGGAGGTTTAAGAAGTGACATTCAGACTCGTCTCAGAAGAATATTAAGAAGACACTGTCTTCACTCCTTAAACACACAATACACTGCTCCCACTAAACACACAAACACACAGGCCTTACAATGCTGTTGAGGTCGGAGTCGAAGCTCCCGATGTGGTGGGTGGTGTTGGAGGTGTGGATGGAGGCGGTGGTGGCAGCAGAGCCCCTCCCTCCCAGCGGCTCTAGACCCTCCTCGTCCCACAAGTAGGTTCCTCCCGACCCACAACTGTCCGAAGGGGACAGGTCCAGAGACGAGCCGCCCTGCGGAGGAGACGGAGGAGTTGACGGAGGAGAAGGAGACGTATGGGATCGTTTCCATGGACGTATTCATTGCTTCTGTCTGTCATCCAGTCTTCATCTAGTGATTAGGCAGAGCGGGTTGGGTCTTCATCCATGGTTACCTGCTCGTGGTAGTCCGGTTGAACGGACCTTCTCAGGCGGTTGGATCGGTTCTCCGCTCGCTCGCCTGCAACGAGAAAAACAGACGACCTGCTTCACGCGAGGTTTCTCTCGCCCGCACGACCATCCGCTGAAGCAAGAACCCACCGCTCAGCCCGGACCAGTCCACGCCGACGTCAAGGAAACGGAGGCCCGCCGCCTCGGCGCCGCTACCCGCCACGTCTTCGTCAAACCTGGCGCACGATTGGTCGAGTCCGGAGTCGTCCTCGTCGTTTTTGGAGGAGAGTAGCAGTATGGCCGCCCCTCCGTTCCCTGTGGACATCGTGAAAGAGACTTTGTTCAGTTCAAACCTCGGGGGTGAAACATTTGGGTAAAGAAGTCTTTTCTTACCGAGGTTGTCAAAGTCGTCCATGTACTCCTGGCTGGTGTCGTTTCTGTCCAAGGACGAGCTGGAGGACAGCGACATGTCCTCCAGCGTCTCCCCCCTGACCAACACCTCGTCCTGGGACGCCAGGTCCTTTCTCTCTGGGGCCTCCGGGGAACTCTCTGAGGAGAGAGGACAGACATGAAACGGGACGACGCGCTTGAAATTTAAGTAGATTACACAAAATGAGGCGCAAAATGAGGCGCGACATGAGAAATGAGAAGAGATTGAGATTAGAGACGAGCTGTGAGGAATTGATGATGTTTGAGATAAGAATTGAAAAGGAGAATATGCGTGTCGTGTATTTGAGGTCTCGTACCCGGACTAGAAGACGTCTCCACCGAGTTCTTCCGAGTCGTCGGCCCATGGTTCATTTCCTGTTCATCTCCGTGCTCATTGGATGTGGCTCGGAGGGGGCGGGACTGCTTGATGAGCGACGCCCGCGACAGCCTGTAGCTGATGCCACTGGGCTTGGAGGCGGGGCCGTAGCCGGAGAGGAGGGGCTTTTTTAAGGCGCAGGGGGGCAGGAGGGATGGGATGCTGAGCCCCGACCTCCCTGAAGAGGCTAGACTTTGAACTTTGACCCCTTTGGCTCCGCCCTCAGGAGTCTGTCCGGCGACGGAGGGTTTTGTCGAGGAAGTTCCTCGGCCAGCAGCCCTGTTGCCGGAGTAGGAGCGGGTGGGATTGCGGGAGGTGGAGGAGGTGGAGGAGGTGGAGGAAGGGGTGAGGCTGTTGGACAGTTGCTGTCGGACTTGCGTCAGGGAGCGTGACCTGAGGCGGTCGCTCTCTGAGAGTCGGGGGGCCGGAGCCGAGCCGAGGCTGTCGCTCGAGTAACAGCGGCCGGCCGGCGGTTTCTTCTGGAGGGGGGAGCCAGAGCGAGAACCGGGACCAGAACCGCTGCCACGAGCGACGTCTTGAGGCGGTCTCAGGGAGCCTTTGGCTCCGCCCCTGGGTTTGTTCAACCTGAACGCCGTCTGGCTCGGTTTGGACCCGAGCGATCCGATTCTGGAGGCGGGAAGAGTTCTGGTGCTGGACTGCGGCGATGAAGAGGACGTCATGGGAAGGCCAGAAGACGGCGACGGAGCTGGAGGGACGTCGTTGCCGTGCCGGTTCTCCCCAACGTTCCCGCCTTTCCCTCGACTCCGCTCCTTCTCCCCGTCGCCGCCTCCTCCGTCCTTCGCCGTCCACTCGTTTTCCCTCCTCCACTTCATGGAAAACGAGGACGGCACCCGAATGAATCCATTCTGTTTGGCGGGCACCGGGGCGGCCGCCGGACTGCAGCCCACCCCCGCCGGGCCGGGGTGGTGGTAGAACCCGTTGGTGAGGCGGTCGCTGGCGGCTGGACCCGTCGGGGGGGCGGTGGCGGATTTGGTCCTGGAGCCGAACTTGGGCAGCCTAGAGACCACGGTGGGCATGGCGGGGGGAGCGACCGCAGGACGGACTGACATCAGACCCCGCCCACTTCACCATGGAGACACGGCTCACCAGGAGCTGCAGAGCACATCGTGACACAATCGGCCTTCAGCATTCCATCCAACCCAAGACATTAAGCACTAAACGGTAGGAAATAATCCACAGTCAATCGGTCAGCGTGATGCAGGTCTGAAAGCTGAGCGATGAGCGTGGAGCGTGTGGTAAAAGTGTGTTTATCATCTTTTCTTTATTACATGTTCAATCTAAAAAACAATAATTCTCTCATGAGACCAAATAATCCTAATGATCACGGTCACATGGGGCTGATGCTCCTCGTTTGACCGCCCGAGGCCACCGTACCTCGAGACCAACAAGCTGATCAGCTGATAAACAAGTTATTTTCATTTTTAATTCTGGAAACAGAATATAGACACTTCCATAACCGAGAGCCGGCGGCATGAACTCTTCACCCACGTCAGATGAACCATAGAGCGCTTATTGTAGAAGACTGCTGACTCATGACTTCACGCATAGATAACTGCATTATTAGACGTGGCGCCATGTTTCCCTCCAGAGTGTCTGTGTGTGGTTCAAGGACACACGCAGGAGGAATGAAGTGTGATAAACGAGGTCACGCTCACCTGGACCCAACAGGATCGCTTCCCTCATCGATCAATGAGGATCAATAGAAACATCATGTCAATCACAAACTCCTGATCCTCAGTTGACTGAAGGTTTCCATTTGCTCAAAACAAAAGACAATTAACCAGAACATGTTTCCTGCCACTGGTGGTCTTTAATCTGCCGATGTGTTGGATCTAAATACTAAAGATCTACATGAACATACATGACTTTTAGTAGTTTGTCCCCACGCGCCTCATCAGGAAGGAGGGCGTATTGTTTATTGACGCCACGCTGTCTGCTGACTCAGATATTACTCTCATTATTAGATAGTGGTGTCAAAGGTCACCTGTTGGTGGGATGAAACATTAGAGCCGCTGCTCTTCAATGTGTAATCTGAGCCAGCGGCCTCCAGACAGAAAGGGATTATGGGTAGGCAGCGTCTTCATGAGGTGTCATGTCACCTGCAATCCATCCTCATCACTCTTCCTCCTGGTCTCTAGAGGAAGGTATTGTATCCTACTACCTTTCCTTCTCTCCTTAGCGTCCTTACTTTCCTCCTCCCTTTCCTAAAAAGGATTTTTTCAACTTGATTTGACTTGTAAGCACATCCCCTCCGACATATTTGGGTTTTTTTAAACACATTTGCACTAATATATTTACTTATTTTAACACTTTTTTTCTAATAATGGATACATTTTTCCGACCTCCCATTTGCACGTAGTAAAGACGCCAAACGAGGGAAACAATGTGACAAACGGAGCGACCCGTCGAAGAGGAGCACAGAAGACAGGAAGTGGAGGGCTGCCACTTCCTGTTGTCACACGCGGTCCCTTTAACAAACATTCAGAAGGACTTTATCAAACAACGTCTGGACTCAAAGAATGAAAGATGAAGATTTCATCAGAGAGGAAGTTCTGCAGATACAAACACTTCCTGCACAACAAACTGAGGCAAAGGAAGAAATAAGTGGACTGGATAGATTCATGAAATTATTATTATTATTATTATTGATAATACTTTTGTCTGTCAAGGAGTCAAAACGTTGGAGACAAAGACAGAAGGAAATGGAGGACATGTTGAAGTCAGGACGTTGATTTAGAACAACAGGAAGTTAGCAGGCGAGCTAACCGATGACTCGGCTTTAAAGCTCATTACTGACAAAGACACCAAGGAAGCCTGAAGACAATGTGAGGACAGGAGATAGAGACATGGGAGACAGACAGGATACAAAGAGGACAAGAAGAGGGTACTGAGAAGACAGAGGACAGGGAAGAGACAGTCATGTCACCATTTTAGGGAATCAAGCGCTGGTTTAAAGAAAGTTCTCTCCGGTTAAGGTGAATTAAGCGCCGGAGAAGACGAAGCGTCTAAAGTCAGAAAGACACAATCGAGAAATTGGTGCAAAGGACCGAACGGCCAGCAGAACAAACCAGTAGAGAACATCAGCGTTCTCTCCATGCAGAGCAGACAGAACCAAAGGAGACCCCGAGGCATGCGGCCCCCCACAACAGAACCAGGGGATGAACCCAGTGGTACTGAAGGGTGTCTCCTCTTAGCGTCTCGTCCGGTCTCAATGAACCAACATCTGACGGTTAAATAGATCAAATTCATCTTCAGCTCAAAACACTGGATGTGATCCACCACCAGCTAGTGGAGGAATCCATCCTATGTTGATTTGATTTATTCAAATAAGTGATAAATCCGTCACAGTTTATCATGTGAGCAATGCACCGAGTCCACAGTCATTGGAGTTTCCTGCATGAAGATGAAATGTTTTAAAAATGTCACAATGTCTCATTCAAATGTCTCGTTTTCACCAGCAAAACAATGATGACCGGTGACGTTTGTCACCTTAATGTTGACTTTGATGACTCATTCATGCCTCCGAGTACAACATCAAATCAAACTATCCGGTTTGTTGACGAGCCGCATTTATTTTGCCAACGTTACATTTGTATCACGTTTTAAACCGGTACACGCGGTGCGATGGAGGCGGCTCAGAACCCACAGCGACAAACCGCTCCCCCCGGTTCCTCCCGGTTCCTCCCGGTCCACCAACGCGAGTCACGTTACGTGCGTGTTCGTTCACGGCGACGCGTCCCGGTTGAGGGAGGATTTCCGGTGGCGGAGACCGACTCACCTGCCAGGAAAACGGAGCATCGGCCGGCGTAGAATCGCGGAAACGCGTCGGCAGGTCCGGTTACAGGATCCCAGCTGGACGTCCGGGAGGCCCGGGAGGACCGGGACCGTAGAAGCGGAGAGAATCCGGAGGGGACGTCGCGTCTCGCTGCGGGGTTCCGCCTGCTGCTCTCCGGCCGGTCACCGCGGAACGCTACGGGGTCTCCCGGCTCTGCGCGTCACCTGCACGGGCTGCGCCGGCTCTCGGCAGGTGAAGCGATGTCACAATAAGAGCCGCTCGGTTGTCCTGCTGAGGTCCGTCCGAGCCGAGGACGAGCTGCTGAATCATCCGCACGCGCACGCGCACAGCTTCCCGCGGAACAGCTGACACTGACGTCATCAGTCCACAGTAAACACACCTTTTACTCGCCGGACGGCGTTTAACGAACACTGTTTTCACAACAATGCTCTAGGAAATAAGTATTCAGATCCAATACTGCGGTAGTAACAGTACTACAGACATGGAATACTATATGGAGAGTCCGACTCGACACTAAATACACAAATAAATCCCGGAAAGTACTTTGAAATCATTAAACTGGTAAATAAGTAGAAAATACTCCGTAAATATGGAAGTCCACTAGTTATATTAATAGAATGCAGTAAATATTGTTTGAATTGGACAATGTGATTAAACCTACGATTTAAATATAGCAGAGTTTAAGATCATTTAGCCACATTGTAATGTTGTAAAGTGGTTTTAAAATTCAATCAAGTACGAACCATTAAGCATGAAATAGGTTCACATTTGAAATAATCGAGAAGCAGCCCCCCCCCTCTTAAAAAGAGGAAACCTTAGTGTTTTTACCCTCAAACCACCACAAAGTTCTTAAAAATCCCAATAGTCCTTTAAAGCAGGAGGAAAACCCCAGATTATATAAAGGAAAGAAGGACGTTCAGAATCAAAGCTGCATGCTCTGTAGTGCCCCCCCCCCCCACTACTCATTCCCTCAGTGAACACGAGTTGGTCTCAATCTCTAGTCAACACAGCATGATGTTCAGTGAGGAAATTATGGTCCATAGTCAAACTGACCATAAAGCCCGGGATGCTTTAGGGCGGGGCTACAGGCTGATTGACAGGTCTCTACATCCATATATGTGACTTCCTCTCCACTAGTCAGTGAATCTACAATAGATTCCTCCATAAAACCATTAATCAGTGTTTAAAGAAGTAAAGTCACAGAAACTGTCAGAATCGGTTCTCAATTTTTTATTAACGTTTCTTAAAACACTCAACTGGAGCTGTCAAAAAAAAGTCACCTGAAACACACAGAAGAGGTCAAAGGTCAGCCCTGAATCATTGAACAACAGCTTTGACGTTATTAGCTTCTTACCTGATCAGACCTGCGTTCTTCCTTTGGACCGGGTCCCTGGGGGACTGGTCGACTGGTGGCTTGGGGTACTCTGGGGAGTACCTGGAGCGGGAGGACAGCACCGCTGCTCTCCAGTACCCGTTTCTAGACTGGGTGATCAGGGTCGAGGGAGCCCAGCCAGAAGGCCCACGCTGGCTGCGTGGCGGCATCTCGGCGGCTTTATCCCAGACGCTGAAGTCTGGGAAAACCCAAGACTGCTGCTGGTTGTGGGATGAGGAGTCGGCGCCAGCCGCGGGCCAAGCCTGGTAAGGACCCGGACCAAGCAGGCCGGCCCCAGAAGGTGAATTCTTCAAAGCGTCACCAGCCGGAGGAGCATAGGCAGAATACCCTGGAACCTTGGGAGGAGCCACAGGAGCCGTGCTGGTGGTGCTGGAATCCAGACCGACAAATCGGCTCAGCTGGTATCTGGGGAACGAGCTAGTAGTCTTGCTGGGAGGAGACTGGTTTCCAGTGGAGGGGCCGGCAGCAGGAGGCCGATAAGCATCTGGGCCAGACTGGAAGGTCTTCTCAGAAGGAGAGTCATCGGATAGTTCTGATGCAGAACCAGTGGATACTCTCGTGTAAGGGTATTTGTAGTCTGGAGATCATAATACAGAAACACATGAGTTATTGTTAAAGCCGTCAACCAGAAACAAACTTAATGGCTTTTAAAGAGCTTGAAGGCTGAAGACTCGTCTTTCAATCTGAGGACCAGCTCTCAGAACAAAGGGAAACTCACCTTTCTTGAAAGGAAAACAAAGTCCACTACTAAACATCAGCAGACAGATCCAGGAGACCCTGGAAGAGAGGCACAGGGAAAAAGGTGAACTGAAGAAGAGCCCCCGTGGTCTTCACCCCCCCGTAGTCCCATCCACTCACCTCAGAGACACTTCAGACACCATGTTTGGAAAAGAAGCAGCAACTGGTCCTCAGCAGCTTGTACTGATCCAGTGTGGCTCCTCTGCTCTTATACTGTGGTCCACATGCTCCATGCACTGATTAGTCATGAGGAACACCTGCAGCCTGTTTCCACGAGCCCCCGCCCCCCACCGAGCGCACACACACCTGGGCGCAGTCCCAATCGCCCCCGACATCCCAAACCCGACTCGTCTGGGACTTCACTGAGGGCACTGGTGTCTGTGAGGGCTTTACGTGGTGTAACATGAAGGGACAGCGCTTTGCTGCCACACGTCACCATGACAACGTCACACAATATGATTTACAACTTTATTTAATACGGTTTACTCAGATTTGAAGGTTTTACATCCTTCCTCATGAAATGAGAGGTCATTTGAAATTATGTTTTACATTATTTTTTTACAGAAAAGGTGGACGTGGTTGTCATGACGCCCGTTGGATGGACGAGCGGTGGTGATTTTGGTTGTCTATAATGAAGAGGGAAATGATGAATTGAGTGAGTGGGATGAATATTAAATGATGGATGGATCATACAGGTCATACAGTCTTTTCACAGTTAACGTTTTTATTTTTATTTTCAACGGTTTTGACTTTTGTCTTTACTTATTCTCACTTCATCTATTCATTTTCATCCCATTTGGTATTATTATTATTATTATGATTATTTAGTTACTTACAATTCTTCTTATCGTGCTCAAATCGTATATTTCTCTAATAAATGATTTCCACAAACTGACGCTGTGCTTCATGATACGTCCACTAGATGGAGCACTTCAACCATCACGGGATAACATGGCATGGACCCGATGGACCTCATTGATGTCATGGACCCGATGGACCTCATTGATGTCATGGACCTGGTGGACCTCATTGACCTGGTGGACCTCATTGATCTGGTGGACCTCATTGATGTCATGGACCCGATGGACCTCATTGATGTCATGGACCTGGTGGACCTCATTGAAATTATGGACTTCAAAGACCAGTGGACCTCATCAATGTTGTTGATTTTATTCACCTCATTCATTGATCTCATGGACACGATGCACCTCATGGACCTATAAGAGACCTGCAGATCAATCACCAAAGCTCCCTCAGCTTGCCCTCCTCTGCTTCTCCATTAAATGTCTCCAACATTTCCAGACTATGATTCCCAGTCCATCGTGTGTGTTTATCATATAATACATATTGTATATTTATTATAATTCCTATGAGCTGGAAACGTTATTAAGTCTCAGAAAGGAAACACGTTTGTCTCTAATCCGTCAGCTGGAGAACCGACACGTCTTCTAGTTACATCCTCTGTGTGTGTGTTTGTGTCTGTGTGTGTCTGTGTGTGTGTGTGTGTGTGTGTGTGTGTCTGTGTGTGTGTGTCAGCACGGATTAGGCAGTAAAGGTAAGCGTGTGTGTCTCTGCCTGTCGAGGTGGATTTGCATCCCTCCCTCTCTCTGTCTCTCCACACACACACACACACACACACACACACACACACACACACACACACACACACACACACTAACCTCAGATGCACCGCCGCCTTCTCATCTCATCCCGTCTCCTCGTCATCTGGACCCCCGGCCCCCACCCTGCCTCATGGCGCCGTGACACTGTGTGTGTGTGTGTGTGTGTGTGTTGTTGTTGTTGTTGTTTGCTGCTTGGGACCGCTGTGCAATGCCATTCCTCCCCAAGGACGCTGAGCGGTTCGATGGACTGTCTCTCCTCTATTGGTAAGCTTCCTCCTTCCTTCCTTCCTTCCTTCCTTCCTTCTCCCCTTTGAGGGGTCACAGCCCTCGGAGGTGGATCAGGTCTACATGCTGGTTCTGGGTCACGTGTGTTGACGCTTTAAAGGGAACAAAAAAAAGCTCAGACGAATCTGTTGAAATTCAACACTTGAGGACATTCAGAGGGACGTCTTGTTCTTTTTACTATTCGTATCATTTATCATATTTAACCTTCATTATGGGGTGAATGTTCCTGTCAGAAAATCAGAAACAGAACAGTTAGTATAATAATAACTTATAATAATCATTAATAGATTCCTTTCATGGGTGTTTTTAAACTATTAACTGGTACAACACGCAATGTGAATAATTATACACACGTCCTCCATCAACCCGTCTGAAGTAACTAACTGAGGACATAACAAGCGTTCTGATTGTTATTTGTAGTTCGTTTGATCCTTGAAGCTAAACAATCTAAAGACAATTCACTAGATGCTGCGAGGACGACATCACATTGAACTGCTCGTGAAACCTCTGTGCTAACGTCAGTTAGCATTAGCATAGCTTAGTAACCTTAGTTGGCCGTGGCTGTGATGATGTTACTGCCAAACAGTAACATCTAACGCCTGTTAGCTGAAAATAAACCATTTAGCGTTGAGCGCTTTCTTCCTGTTATTGTTGTGCTAACGTTAGTTTGCATTGCTAGCTAACCTTAGCTAACATGTAACAGATACATTAATAGATAATAGAAATATTAGTAGTGACATTGTTATATATCAATAACAATTCCCTTCATGATTTAAAAGATGATTCATAGATTTGATGACGCGATAAACCGTCATCTCAACAGGATGTTATTAGGAAAGTCAGATGACAAGATCTCCGACGTGTTTTTGTCTCCTTGAGAACCAACAATAACTTGTGGGAATTATTACTGTAACCATGGATACGCAAACAGACGAGCATTGTTACCTGGTATGGAATTACTCCTAAAGCATATGGATCCGTCAGGCTCGCTCATTTCCATGGCAACGTCTCCTCATCCTATTTAATGCCCTCGTTTCTGTGCCACCAGACACGAGGGTATTAAATATCTTTATCTTCATGCTATTCTATCCAAAGAAGGCTCTTCTTCAGGGGCCGCTTTACAAAAATATGTAAATAAGTTTGAGTCATTTGTTGTAATAATATCTCCATAAATATGTATTTATGAAAACATTTCGCAGCTCCTCTATAAATGTATTAGTGACAAAGTCTTATTTTCGCAGCTCCAGGTTTGATTCGACCACCTTCTGAATAATAATATAAATATATTATTCGTAGTAATATAATAATCTATTTAAATAATATCTCCATACATGAGTGTAGCGTGACTTGTAGATGTGCAGGGACCCGGTGCGGTTACAGTGTGTGGCGTTAATCGCCGGCAGCAGGTAAAGGCAGATTAGGGGGCATTAAGTGCTCAGTTAAATTGCCCCCCCTTGTGTGGCAGGTTGTTGTCGTCATTGTCAGTCCTCCAGCTTAAAGGAAAACCGTCCAAAGAGCTTGTGGACAGCCGGTCTGAGTCATGAGTCTATGGGTCCTCCTCAGCCTGCGGTGATGGAGGTGGTGGAGATTCATTTAGCTTCTACAGCAGAGAGGCGACTTCGTGGGTGGAGGCGGGAGGGATGCGGGACAGCGCAGAGGAACTCAGGACTTTGTAACCACTCGGCCACCAAAGCATCATTTCAGACCAGGTCTTCCTTTGGACCGGATCTCCTTTGGTCGATCTGTCCCCCTGGGTTCAGGTTCAGCGTGGACTCTAGTCTGGACCACTGAAGACCTTCAGATATGTTCAGGCTCTGTGTGTGTTTCATTAAACGAGGTTATCAATGCAACATAAGTCATCTTATTTCCTCTTGGATGTTTTAGCAGGTTGAACTCTTTTTAAATAACGTGTACCTTATGTATTTAGGAGGATGATGTTATTATTTTCACACTAAGCCCTCCAGAGGGATCAGACCGACCTCAGCCTCACCTTGGAATCTTTATTCATCCACCTCTCCGTACATTATCCCTTACGTAACCGTGTGTTAACGGGTCCTGATGGAGGCAGCACCACCATGTATCTGCTACAAGATGCTTTGCAAAGAAATACTTTACATAAAGCACCTCTGTCAGTGAAGCCTAGAATCTGTGGCTTGGATTATCGTCGGGATGGAAGGATGGAGGATGACCACAGTCCACCTCGGGGTCCAGAACTCTCCCATCCCCCTTCACCCTGTGATGTCACTCTGTCCTCGACAATAGAAGCCGTCTCTTCATTTCCACACACATGGCTGAGCGTCAGACGCAATCAGCGCTCTGCGGAGAGCTGAGCCTCCGGGACGGGACCGGCAGACAGCAGCACCGTTTCGACCACATCAGGAGGGGGGGGGGGGGGGGTCTCTAAAGCTCTGACCCGGAACCCGCCACAAATCTCTCTGCTCGAAGGGACCGCCGAGGATAAAACAAGCCGCCTCTGATTGTTTTTCATTACCGGTCCGGTCTGCTGGGACCACAGAGGCCTCCTCCTCTCCGCCGCCGTGCCGGTTCACCCGGGACGGATTTACTGGTTGTGGCTGCGTGGAGGGAGGGAGGGAGGGAGGGAGGAGGGGTGAGGAAATTACAAAATCCTTCCGTGATCTCATTGTTGTAGGTGGCAGCGTGCTAATGATTGGCTTGTGTTTTTGCCTGTTGCCAGGACGATAATGGGTCCACACGGCATCAACCGGGCCGTGCAGAGGCTGGACTTCTGCGACTGCAGGAAAGGGCTCGGTGAGCTTTGATCCCTTGACCTCTACGAGCTCTCGCCCGCGCAGACTGTGCCATCTAAAGTTTCCCATCCGTGGACAGGTGTGAAGATAATCGGAGGCTACCGAGCGGTGACGGGCGAGGAGTTCGGGATCTACGTCAAGCGGGTGGTCGGCGGCGGGTTGGCGGCTCAGGACGGTGGGTGCTTCCGTGGTGTCGTTGGTAAAGTCCCTCAGTCAGCCGTCTTCTATTCCTCTCATCCTTAGAGGGTTGCGGGGGGCAGCATCGGGCGACCTCGGGGTCCCCCCCCGACGGGACGCCAGTCAATCGCAGAGGTTGATGATGTCATTGTTGTTATTATTGTTGTTATTATTGTCCTCTCCATCCGTCGCTCCCTGTTGCAGGTCGACTTAAGTCAGCTGACCTGATTTTGGAAGTCAATAACGTCAGTCTGATAGGGGCGACCAACGAGAGGTAAGTGACCTGGATTCTAACTGCCAACTCTACTACAATCAGATCAACAGCTCTTCACTTCAAACTACGACTGTCTGCCGGCCCACAAGTATCATTTGGAGGCGTCGACTATGAGTACATGATGTTACTATTGGCTTGTGCCTCTCTGGTGGAGACCTGCCAATCACAGTAAGCCCCGCCCTAAAGCATACCTGGCTTTATTGTCTGTTTGACTCCAAATTGACCATAGCAACGTCTGGTGTCAGTGCCGCCACTCAAACACAGACTGACCAATCACAGCGTAGAAGACTTGTTCAGTGCTCTTCTCCATCAAATCTGCATTATTCTTGTTTCTATTGTTTAGTTTGTATGAACTGTGTACGTTGCGTCCTGATGACGACCTCTCTGTCCTCTATGCTGATAGGGCGGTGGAGATCCTGAGGACAGCCTCGCTCTCCAATCACATGTCCTTGTTGATCGCCAGAGACGATGAATCCAGGTCGGTCAGACACAGAGAACACAAACGGTTTGGGCTGTAAAAGTGACACACAACTTCATCACCGACCCACACACACTCAGCCATAGAGACACGCCCATGCACCAGTACAACCACTCTATAAAATACAATTATAACAAATGCAATTGTGAGCATTATGGTATATTATAATTGCATTATAATATATACATATATATATATATGTGTGTGTGTGTGTGTGTGTGTGTGTGTCTACACGTATATTAAACATCCCTACATCATCAAAGGGGCTCGACGTCGTACTGCTGCACGGTTTTAGTTGTAAAAATGTTAATGAGCTTTGTTTTATTCCCATATTTTTGGTTTGTTTGGAGATGAAGGCTCCTCAGCTGGTCCATTTATTTTAGACAGAAATGGTCAGAAAAAAGTATATATATACATATATATGTATATACAAGTGGGCATTTCCTGGTTCCAATAAGACAATAATATATAATTTATAAAATATATATTATTGTCTTATTGGAACCAGGAAATGCCCACTTGTGACTCTCAAGCTCTACTTCCAGCTTCACTTCCAGCTTCACTTTGAGCTTCACTTTGAGCTTCACTTCCAGCTTCACTTTGAGCTTCACTTTGAGCTTCACTTTGAGCTTCAGTTCCAACTTCACTTTGAGCTTCACTTCCAGCTTCACTTTGAGCTTCACTTCCAGCTTCACTTTGAGCTTCACTTCCAGCTTCACTTTGAGCTTCACTTCCAGCTTCACTTTGAGCTTCACTTTGAGCTTCACTTCCAGCTTCACTTCCAGCTTGACTTTGAGCTTGACTTTGTACTTGGGGCTTTGCCGGCCGTGAGCCGTGTCGGTGGTGCGGTCCGACGGCGGTGACCTCTGGCGGAGGCCGTCTGGTGGTGACAGCGCTGAGGTAAGTGAACCTGGCACTCTGCTTCCACCACGTCAGCCTGAGTCAAACGCGCTGCGACACAATCAGGGCGCGTTCTGCTGCGGCTGATCCGAGATCAGCAGAAACGCTGCTCCGCTCCGTGAGGTCATCGCCTCAGTTTGGGTCGTCACCATCAAGCGTTTACACCGCAGAGAACCGGCGTAAAACCTCCTCTGGAGCAGATTGTTGAGGTCTTCGGCTCACACGATGAAGTCTTCAGGGCTGAAGTTCACGCCAAAAGGAACATTTTCACTTTTCCATCGGGTGCTTCTCTGTAACAGATCCTCACATTTGTGACTAAAATCACAGCAAACGTTATGCCTCAGTGTTTTCAGATCTTTCTTGTTAGGTCATCGGGGACCTCTTAGTCCTCAAGGACAGAGATCTTTGTTCTCCTGGAGAGAAGATCTCCAGTGGTGGGACTTGCTCCTTGTGCTCCTTAAACAGGGAATGAGGCTTCGACTTGTTGCAGCTCCTCATCGCTTGTTGAACATCTTCCCGATGATGCGTTGGGGATTCCTTTCATATTGACCTCGCTGTCAGAATCAGACCTACAGGACTACAGACACAATGTGTGTGTGTGTGTGTGTGTGTGTGTATAAGCAGCTCAGGTTTTCACCTCAAATCCGACCTCCATTGTCGTTTGTTTCACACTCTGAAGCTAACCGTGATGATCGGGTCCCGCGGGGCAGAAGGTTAGAGGAAGGAGGAGGAATGAACGTGGAGCTTTAACTGATTCTGTCAGGAAGCTGAAATCCAGACAGGAAATGTCGCTCACGGCCCCCAGAGGATGAATCTAGGCTTCGGTCACATCACTGTAACAATATTTGGCCTGTTGACATTACATCACATGTCATTTGACCTTTTTCGAGATTTAGGAAAAATATCCTGTTTTACTTAATATTAAAACATTCAAAGAAATATCCTCATTTAAAAGAATCCTTGATTCCGCAAAAGTTTCCTGACTTTTTTTTAATCCAATTTTAAACAATATTCCCACCTCACTTGAAAAGAAATGCTGGAACCCCCCAAATGTCCCTCCTGGTAAATCTAAACGTGACAGGTTTTAAAATAACCTGCTTTCACTTCAGGTATGTACCACGAGGTACTGGTTTCACGTGGTTCTGAAGTTTACCCTCTCTGCAGCGATTTGAATAACACTTAAATCTGTGAAGGTTGGTGACCTCTGACCTCTGACCTCCAATTGTTCAGATCCTCTTTGTCATCATGTTTCTGCTGCGCCCATGAGAGGGAGACAGACGCTCACAGATCCTCAGCACACAAGCTGTGGTAGTGAAGATATAGGTGACCTGTGTGTGTGTGTGTGTGTGTCTGTGTGTGTCTGTGTGTGTGTCTGTGTGTGTCTGTGTGTGTCTGCGCTCCAGGAGAGAGTTTGCTGAGCTGATGGAGAAGTACGGATCCAATAAAGCTGCACCTTTAGGTGGAGTCTCTCCCCCTCAGCTCTCCTCCTCAGGTAAAACACACAATCACACCTTTATTCTTCTACACGTGTGAGGACGCTCAGTGATGTCTTACCTCCCATCATGCTCCTCCCTCCACCTCCCATCATGCTCCTCCCTCCACCTCCCATCATGCTCCTCCCTCCACCCTCCACCCCTACCCTCCACCTCCCATCACGCTCCTCCCTCCACCTCCCATCATGCTCCTCCCTCCACCTCCCATCACGCTCCTCCCTCCACCTCCCATCATGCTCCTCCCTCCACCTCCCATCACGCTCCTCCCTCCACCTCCCATCATGCTCCTCCCTCCACCTCCCATCATGCTCCTCCTTCCACCTCCCATCATGCTCCTCCCTCCACCTCCCATCATGCTCCTCCCTCCACCTCCCATCACGCTCCTCCCTCCACCTCCCATCATGCTCCTCCTTCCACCTCCCATCATGCTCCTCCTTCCACCTCCCATCATGCTCCTCCCTCCACCTCCCATCACGCTCCTCCCTCCACCTCCCATCACGCTCCTCCCTCCACCTCCCATCATGCTCCTCCCTCCACCTCCCATCACGCTCCTCCCTCCACCTCCCATCATGCTCCTCCCTCCACCTCCCATCATGCTCCTCCTTCCACCTCCCATCACGCTCCTCCCTCCACCTCCCATCACGCTCCTCCCTCCACCTCCCATCACGCTCCTCCCTCCACCTCCCATCATGCTCCTCCCTCCACCTCGCATCATGCTCCTCCCTCCACCTCCCATCATGCTCCTCCCTCCACCTCGCATCATGCTCCTCCCTCCACCTCCCATCATGCTCCTCCCTCCACCTCCCATCATGCTCCTCCCTCCACCTCCCATCACGCTCCTCCCTCCACCTCCTCCCTCTCTTTCTTCTGCTTCTCTCCTCTGTGCTCAGGGAAGCTGACGGAGACGGCCTCCTCCTCCTCCTCCTCCCGGTCCGAGAGCCCCCAGCTCCTGAGTCCTAAAGAGGGGGTCACCGTCCACACCAAGGCCCCTCCCCCCAAACCGCCGCCCCCGCACGCCTTCAGGTAGAAACATGTAGTTCATGAATACATTGAAAGGCTTATTCTAATGAAATAACTCAAATTGTATTGAAATTTAGAAAAGCAATAAAAAATGAAAAGGTGACAATATTTTTTAATGATTTCTAATTGATTTTAGTTCATTGAAACCATAAATCTCACATTTGTTGACTGAAAATAAAACAACTCAAAATTAATTGAGTTTCTATTTGAACATTTACAATTTCCAATGAATTGAAAGACAGATTGTGGTTAAGTGTTTTTATTAATTCGTCCATCAAAAATGATGTGAAAACAAACAGTTTTGTGTAGTTGTTGTTGTTGTTGTTGTGCAGCACTTCACAAAGTGTGTAGTTCTACAAACAGGTCTCATTGGCTCTTTGATGGCATCACATGATGCGGCTAAAAATATCAACAAGCCTCCTCAGCGATCCTCACAGCGAGGAGGAGGAGAGAGAGGAGGGGCAGGGGCGGAGGAGGTGGAGGAGGAGGAGGAGGAGGGGCAAGGGGCGGAGGAGGTGGAGGAGGTGGAGGAGGAGGGGCAAGGGGCGGAGGAGGTGGAGGAGGAGGAGGAGGGGGCGGAGGAGGTGGAGGAGGAGGGGCAGGGGCGGAGGAGGTGGAGGAGGTGAAGGAGGAGGAGGGACAGGTGGCGGAGGAGGTGGAGGAGGAGGGGCAGTGGGCGGAGGAGGTGGAGGAGGAGGAGGAGGAGGAGGAGGGGCAGGGGCGGAGGAGGTGGAGGAGGAGGAGGAGGAGGGGCATGGGGCGGAGGAGGTGGAGGAGGCGGAGGAGGTGGAGGAGGTGGAGGAGGAGGGGCAGGGGGTGGAGGAGGTGGAGGAGAGCTACAGATGATGTCACACTGGTTTGAGTCCCTCTTTCTCTGCAGCGACGGCATTCAGTTGATTTGCGTTGCCAAGGGAACGGGCCTTGGGCTCGTCGTCAAGGGCGGAGCCAACCGGGCGGAAGGACCAATGGTGTTCATCCAGGAAATAATGCTCGGGGGAGACTCACAGAAGGTCAGCGTTCCCTAAAAACAAAGTGTCTTTTTGTCTCATTGTTTCATCAAAAGCGTTTCAGCTCAGGAAAAACAATCCAAACCATATTTTTCGGTTATCAAGTTCTTCTTGAAATGGTGACTTCTGCTTTCACTTGATCAAGTTTAGGTTCTTGTTATTCGGTCGCAGCAGCTAAAGATGCACCGAAGAAACCCCAAAGTTTTTCTTTTTATAGATTAGCAGCAGGTTCTTTTCCCCGCGTGGACCCTCTCGGGGTCTCGAGTGTTTTGTTGTGTTTCAGGACGGCCGGCTGCAGGTCGGAGACCAGCTGGTGTCCATCAACAAAGAGTCGCTGATCGGAGTGACGTACGAGGAGGCCCGGAGCATCCTGACCCGAACCAAGCTCAGGTCCGACTCCCCCAGAGACCCCCTGCAGGGCCTCCAAGAGAAACCAGTGCAGGGGAGAATAAATGTGGAAAGAGCTGTTTATGAGTGTGTGTGTGAAGTGAAGTCAACATACTGACATCTGCTCTTAAAGGCCGAATGTGTTTATGGACGTCTATGTTTACCTTTGGTCAGTGAGAATTGAGTAGCTCTGATTCAGAACCAACATCCATCACACACATAAATATGTATAAAGTGTGAACAACAAAACTTTTAAAATGTTAGTTATGTTGTTGTTTTGTTTCATTGTTGTTTATATCAGATAGTTGCAAAACTGTAACAAGAAAACCGCTTAAAAAGTATCAATCAAAAAGGAAAAAGTGGAAATGATCAATATGATAAAATAAAACGTAAAACTACTCTTTTCACCAGCGGCAGCACAATGTGGCCACTAGTGCAAATAACCAAGCACAAAAATAGATTTCCTTATGAATAAAGGAAATATGAAGTGCTTAAAGATGAGCTTCAAAACCACAACATAAATCAAACAGTTACAATGACGATGATTAATAAGAGTAAGTTAATAAAACAGCAAAGAATAGACTTGGTAGAGCTGTGGTTCCATTTTTGTTTGTTCCTAGTTGCAATTAAGTCTTTATTTCCATTGTTGTGATGTATTCATGCTGAATTTAGTCTTAATGGGAGGGAATTAAAACCATCACTCGTTTATTTAATTATAGCATTTACAGTTTAATGTAGGCCTTCGAAATCGTTCAAAAATGCCCCCACTGGTCCGCAGGCCGGACCCCACGGTGGAGATCGCCTTCATCAGGCGGAGGTCGTCCTCCAGCTCCAGCAGCGGCCCTCACAGCCCCGTCTCCCTGCAGGGGTCCGGAGGGGGCGGCGCCCCCCCGGCGAGGCCCAACAAGATCACCTCCAACCGGAACCCGGCCTGCGAGACTCTGCCAGCAGTCAGCGTCAGTCAGGTGGGGCCTCCAGCGCACCAGAAGATACACCGGTTCTGGTTCTGCTTGTGGTTCCACACTTATTCTGGGACTAACTTTGAACTTCATACGTCGTGAACATATTACACTTTAAAGTTAAACTCAAGTTAGACATGATTCATTTGAAGTCGCATTAGTAGCGTGCATGCTAACACTCGCTAATTATCGGTAAACGCTAAGTAGACCTCTGAGAATGTCCTTGATTCTGCAGGTATCTAAATATTGGGAAAACAACTGTATTTATTGACTTTGATACCTTTATTAAATGATAAAACGTTAGACTTCCTTTAGAAAGGCTTATTGATTATGTAATTCATTCCCTCAACTCATCTTGCGGTTTCACAGCCACATGATTAATGTCGTCTGTTCACGGCGAAGACGTCACGACACACGCGCTCTCTTGTCAAAGCCTCATGGATGTGTGGTGTCACGTCTGCAGGTGCGAGTGACTCCGTCCAGAACCGAGCCAGCGTGTGTTTCCTCCCCGCCGAGGAGCGACGGTAAGTCACACGTGACGGTACAGAACACGGGGTAAATCTGAGAGGTGTTGATGGAGACCGGGCAGGTGGATATGGGAGGCGGGGCTCAGGAGACAGATGGCGTGGAGTTGGTGTCCTGTCAACGGAAGAAGGGGGGCCGGGGGGGTCTTTTTGCGTCTGTTCTTTTCTTATTGTAGTTTATTGGTTTCTCTCTGTGGTCTATTTTCTTTGCCACGACATGTTTTGTTGAATTGTTTTTGACTCTTTTTTTCCATCACTTTTTTCAAGCTATTATGTTTTTAATATTTTTTTCAGGACTTTTTTGATCTAATGTTTTTTTAACTTTTTAACCCCTTCACATTTTTCATTTTTTGACATATTTTGACTTTTTCCAACCTAAATATTTTTGTCGACATTTTGACTTTTCGATTCAATACATTTTGACTTTTTTTCTCGATGCTTTGACAGAATATTTTTCAACATTTTTTTTAATACGTTATGTCGACCTAACACGTTTTGACTTTATTTTCCTTGACATTTTTTGCCCTAATATACTTTTACTTTCGGGTTTTCTTGTGTCGCTTTGTGGTCATTTTACATTTTTTGCTGCCTTTTATGAAATAATTTCCTACACTGCACTGTTTTATTATTTTTTTTAAAACTCGTCTGATTCCGTTTGGACTTCTTTTTATTATTCGTTGGAAATCATTTAATTATATTTACAAATGTTTTATCAAATCTTCAAATGAATCTATTTTTCTACTGCTCTTTAATATCATCAAATGACCCAATTACACAGAGACGTTGTTCTCCCATGTAGCCACAAGTCTGTGTATTCACTTTACCATATTATTGTTTCTTAAGGTCCTGATCGAGCTAACGCTCATGCTATCGCTCATGTTAAAACTATGTTAATTGATTGAAAATGATCTGAAATATGTACTAGCGTGACTGTGTCATTGTGTCATTAGAATCGGCCTGTCATCCTCCTCCGAGAAGATGTTCTCTGAGCACCAGCTGTCTACTCAAGCTGGAGCGGCTGGAGCAGGTGACTGATATTCAGAATCGTACACGTACATCAAATCTGTATTATTTATGTGCAGAGTCCTGTCACACTACCAGGATAGTTACACTAAAGCTGTCAGTTGTCTGTGGATTGTATTTCATCGTGCTTATTGAACACGGCAGGGTTATATAATACATACATATATATATATATATATATATACATATATATATATATATATATATAAATCCCTTCACCGTTTACATACTGTATTGTATTGTTAAGTAGTACAAAAAGTACACGTTATGTCATTAATACACACACGCAATCACCCAAACAGACGTGTTGAATATTTAACTGTATCATATTATTATCATTATTAGTGACAGCAGGCAGGAGGCTGTTTGTCAATGTTTGTGAGTGGGGGGGTCACTGAGTGTATTGATCCGTGTGTGTGTGTGTGTGTGTGTGCGTGTGTGTGTGTGTGTGTGTGTGTGTGCGTGCGTGTGCGTGTGCGTGTGCGTGCGTGCGTGCGTGCGTGCGTGCGTGCGTGCGTGTGTGTGTGTGTGTGTGTGTGTGTGTGTGTGTGTGTGTGTGCGTGCGTGTGTGTGTGCGTGTGTGTGTGCGTGTGTGTGCGTGTGTGCGTGCGTGTGTGTGTGCGTGTGTGTGTGCGTGTGTGTGCGTGTGTGCGTGCGTGCGTGTGTGCGTGCGTGCGTGCGTGTGTGTGTGTGTGTGTGTGTGTGCGTGCGTGCGTGTGTGTGTGCGTGTGTGTGTGTGTGTGTGTGTCGGTTCAGGCTCTGGATCTGCTCGGTCTGAAGCCCTCGGAGGCTCAGCAGCAGCAGCTCAGATCCGGACTAGAAGCTGATCCAGCAGGGACGGAGGCCTTCACAGGTGAGTCCTTCTTCATGTTCATCTTATGACGTCATGTTTCCATGACGACAGATGGAGCTTACACCTAAATGGAATCAGAGCTTCTGTTCACTGCCATTTAGAAAGTGTTGTACATGAATATTTGGAGTTTTCTGTGTCATCATGAACTTCTGTCAACTATCAAACTAGCTTCTTGCTTTATTTATTATTTGCTAAAATAATGATTTCATTCTCTTCCTTTATCACCTTGTGGCCAAATCTGTTTTTTAAAAAGTGCCAATATTTTACATGAGACACTCAGTCATACCACCATCTTCATCATCATCATCATCATCATTGTTTCAACTAATGCTCAAGCTACCGCTAATGCTAATGTTTTAACCAATTCTCAAACTAGCTTTCAGGCTAATGTTTGAACTAATGCTTCTGGTGTATTTGTGAACGATGTCATCATCCATATTGTTATGGAGCCGTTACATCAAATATCTACCTGATAACACGTGTCTTCAGGTAGATATTTGATGTCTCTCTGTACTTGGACACAACACCTTGAGCTCTCGTCTCCGACCGTCACTGACAAGTGAGACCACACGAGAACCAACAGATCACAGCAGAAGGTTTTATTCATGAGAAGTTGGAACAACGAGGACTGAATGAATGATTCATATGTATATATATATATGTATATATATATATGTATATATATGTATGTATATATACATATATCATCATATTCCTGCAGACTTCGAGAGGCGGATCCGGGAGCTGTTCCTGCCTCAGCTGGACGAGCCGAGGTCCACATCCGACGAGCCGTCCGGTTCGCTGGCGTCTCCCGCCGCCCCCCGGGTAGGACTCCGTGGTCCTCAGAGACATCTCAGGCTTAATGATGTAGTGATGTGATCAGTGTGTCAGTTATAGTGGTTTTTTAAACCCTTTCTGGTTCCACATGTAATGATGTTAATGATGTTGACACATAAGCGATAATGTTGGTGTGTGGCTGTTACTTAGAATATAACTACGGTCATTTTCATGTTCAATGGAAAAAGAATCAACATTCAATTTCTGTCAGGATTCCGATTATAATATAATATATTATATCTAAATAACTAACTATATTACATATTAAAGCCATATTTTAACTGAAAGAAATACATATTATTCCACAATTTAAAAACAAACATAAAGTAATGAAGTAATGCTGTAAAAGATTAAAGAGAATCTGCACGCCGGACACGACAGGAAGTGACAACGCCATGTCGCCCCTGGCTCCACATCGCAGAGACCCCGCCCCCCTCCCCCTGACCCCTCCCACAGCAGTTATCAATCAATCAGTCCAGAGGGGAGCAACCAGGCTCTTACATTCTGAAAAACCAATCAATGGTTTACTGTGAATGTGAAACAGGAAGAGGAGGTCACGAGGCCTGTTTTCTGTGCGCAGCCGTCGGCGTCGGACTCGGACGACCTAGAGGAGATGGAGAGGCTGAGGAAGGAGCACATCGAGGCTCTGAGGGAGATCAAGAGGCTGCAGGTGAGACCACAACATCCGAGGACGATCACACGCCTCCTACCAGAGCAGCAGGGAGTCAACCGCTGTGATCAAATAGTCACTTCCTTTCCTAAGCACTTCTCCTTGACCTGAGGAAAACGCACAGGGTCAAGGAAAGGTGTGAAGGAGAGTTCATGAGGAGTTAGGTAAGAACATCTGACAACACCTCCACTGGTCTACGTATTGATGTCACTGATCTGTGTCTGCAGATTGGCGCTGCAGGAGCTAATAAAGGAAGCATTGAGGCACCTTTCCTATGCTAAAGGAGCTAATAAGGAAGCAATGGGGGACCTTTTCTATGCTAGATGAGCTAATAAGGAAGCATTGAGGAACCTTCCTATGCTAGAGGAGCTAATAAGGAAGCATTGAGGCACCTTTCCTATGCTAAAGGAGCTAATAAGGAAGCATGAGTCACCCCTCCTATGCTGGAGGAGCCTATAAGGGAAGCATTGAGGGACCTTTCCTATGCTAAAGGAGCTATAAAGGAAGCATTGAGGCACCTTTCCTATGCTAGAGGAGCTAATAAGGAAGCATTTAGGCACCTTTCTATGCTAAAGGAGCCTATAAAGGAAGCATTGAGGCACCTTTCTATGCTAGAGGAGCTAATAAGGAAGCATTTAGGCACCTTTCCTATGCTAAAGGAGCTAATAAGGAAGCATTGAGGCACCTTTCCTATGCTAGAGGAGCTAATAAGGAAGCATTGAGGCACCTTTCCTATGCTAGAGGAGCTAATAAGGAAGCATTTAGGCACCTTTCCTATGCTAGAGGAGCTAATAAGGAAGCATGAGTCACCCCTCCTATGCTGGAGGAGCCTATAAAGGAAGCAATGAGGAACCTTCCCCAAGCTAAAGGAGCTAAAGGGACTATTGGTCCTCAGCCTCAGAGACAACATGCTTCCTGGTGACTTTCTTGTTGACTTGTTTGTGGACTTTCTGTCCATCCCTCTGTTTCAGGAGCAGCTGGTGGAGTCTCAGCGAGTTCACCACCAGCTGGAGGAGGAGCTTAGCCAAGTCAGACAGGTGAGGAACACCTGCTCCAGGTGAGGCGGATTCCCTCATGTGGTGACCCTGACTGAGCTCACTGGTTGTAGATGGAAGTGATGGGAGCTCACTGGTTTTAAATAATTATGAAGATTACAAATTAGTAAAAAAACAAAAGTAAATCTGTTTGCTTCTGAAATGTTTTTTTTAAATCTCCTTCTAATGTGAAAAACAACAAAAGATGTGGATGTTTGCAGTGAGCTTATTGTGTATCTGCACGTGTGTGTGTGTGTGTGTGTGTGTGTGTGTGTGAGTCACAGCTGAAGGGTCTCAGCGTCTCCCACTCTGCTGCCTCCTCTTATATCTTATTTTGTTGCATAAAAGGATCGATATCCACATTTAGACTCTGCGCTGAGCAGCAGAGAGTTTTATTTATATCATCGTGGACGTCGTCCCTCCTCTCAAACGTCCTGCTCTTCGTCTTCCGTCCTCCGTGTTATTAAAGCAGCACCTCTCGGGCTGACTGAAGTCAGACAGGCTGCATCTTTGCTTCTGGTCGATGCCAAACGCGTTTCAAAATATAAAAACACGGACAGCGAAATAAATGATACTTAGTGATGAATGTAATATCAAAAGATTACTGTCAGAACCAGACGACACGGCACATTTATAGTTATACGTTATAGTTCCGGTGACCACCCGGCGGTCCAGAGGTCCCACTCTAATAACACATATATGTACCTACGTAAAAAAACTGCAAACATGAATCCACAGTGAGATATATTATTCAGATACAAAAGTCAAAGGTCAAACTCCAGATCTGTAGTGTTGGATTGTCAGGTATTCTGGAACTACCTCCTCCTCCTCCTCCTCCTCCTCCTCCTCTTGCTCCTTCATCTCCTCCTCCTCGTCTTCCTGCAGGAGGTGAAGCTGGGAGCGGAGGAGAGTCGTGCCCTGAGGACTCGTATCCAGCTGGCGGAGGAGGCCCAGAAGCAGGCGAGAGGGATGGAGATGGACTACGAGGAGGTGATCCACCTGCTGGAGGCCGAGATCGCCGAGCTGAAGACGCAGAGGGCGGAGCCTAGGACGGAGAAGGGGGCGGAGTCTAATGATAAGGTGACCTACATCTTAGTAAATATTTGTTATATGAAATAATTTACTGAATATTTAACCTCTATAATACATTCAATACTTGACTTTTTTCTCTATTGTTATATTACTTGTAAAAGTAATAAATTAATCCGTTTATATGAATTATGAGTTTATTAATGATCCCTCTCTGTAGTGGAGGTTCATTTATGGAGCTTAAATCTTTTTAGTTTTTTCTGTTTGTTCGTACTTTACTTCCAGAGGGTAAAGCGACATTGAGTTTAACGTCTTTGTGATTAATATTATAATGTATATTACAGTATTAAATCAGAAGAAAGCAAACAAAAGAAGCTCCTCCTTCTGTAGATGACAAAGAGTCTCTCTGTGTCTAAATATTACACCACAATGACGAACAGAAGAGCTCGACTGAGGTTATCTCAATTCATCCTGAATCAATTTACACCTTCCTGCTGTCAGGACGACGAGGAAGAGCTGAAGAAGAGAGTCGCCGTCCTGGAGTGTCAACTGCGGAAGAGCGAGGCAGCCAAGAAGGGCTTCGAGATGTCGACGGGAAAACTGCTGAGCTTTGTGGAGGTAAAGAGATCCTCACTGCATCCATCCACCGCTGAAAGTAGTCCCCTACAAAGTCCCCATCGACAGAAACCACCTGTCACTCAAGTTAGCCTTAATTATGCTTTACTTGAAATAGAATCTAAATGTGATTTGTATAACGTTCCGATATTAGACCTTTGTGTAACAGGCTGTATTTTCACATTTAATGACAAAGCTCCAACCAATTGATCTCTGTTTGTCACCAATGTTTTACACGCTGTTATTGTATGTCCTCACATTCCATCGTCTGGGTCATGTATTTAATGATGTGTAGAACATTATAGTGTAGATCTGCAGGGAAGGAGGCAGCAGTACCTCTGCCTCGCTGAAGAGGGCGTGTGTGAGCACACGGTCTTGTCCATCCATCCTTCTGCAAACCGCTTATCCTGCACAGCGTCACGGGGGGCTGGAGTCCGTCCCAGCCACCGTCAGGCGATAGACGGGGTTCATCCTGCACTGGACAACCATTCAACTCACACACCTACAGGCACTTTAGAGTCCCCAACCAACCTGATCCCCAGAGCAGGTCTCTGGACTGTGGGGGGAAGCCGGAGAACCCGGAGAGAACCACGCAGACACGGGGAGAACATGCAGACTCCACACAGAAAGGCCACTGGAACCCAGGACCTTCTTGCCGTGAGGCGACAGTGGTGACCACCGCGCCACCAACACGGCCTTGTTCTGCTACGTATTACAGACACATGGCATAGTTAGCATGTGCTAGCTAAAAGGTGAAGTAGTACAAGTCCACCACATCAGTTCGTCAAGAATGAAAAGGTAGAGTCGGAATCGGACTGACCAAAGACGACTTTCACCCCGAGCATAATGTCTGTGAGACAAAGAGAGTGTTGAAAATAAAAGAAGGTAAAGAGGACTTTTACAGTCAGGTTTGTCCAGAAGGATGAATGGACTTCATTTACAAATCAACGGAAAAAATGAAACACCAGCCTTATTAATAATAATGAATGGATTTATGCCACTGAATATGTGAATCTGACTTGAGTCACAAACATCACATAAAGCACAAAGAACGTCACTGCTTTAGTCATTTATTTCCCATCTGTTTTCCTGCAGAACGTTCAAGAGTTCCTACTTGAGAGTCAAGAAACAAAAAAGAGCTACAGGTAATGCGTGTGCTTCTGTGTGTGTGTGAATGTATGAGGGTTGTACGTGCAGGTGTGTGTGTGATTGTGTGTGTTCAGACGGCTTCCTTTTGTGCGTTTGATTGTCTGACCTCAACACCACCGCTGCAGTCTCATAACGAGATATCCTGCAGAGAGCAGAGCCCATTAGCCGGTTCAGACACACACACACACACTGTGGTCTATAGTGGCCCACTTCAGCCCAGGTAGGACAGCAGTTAGCTCCGGTTAATGGCCCCCCCCTGCAGCCTTTTGCAGCGTTATGAAACGTCTCGACCTGTGAGGTCACTGAGCCACCACCGAAGAAGAAGAAGTAGAAACAGGAGAAGACAAAAATCTTTCTCTTTGTTCTTTCCTCCCTCCCTTCCTTCCTTCCTTCCTTCCTTCCTTCACTCGCTTCTGTCAGCCCTCATTCCCTGTTGTTCTTTCTTCCTCATCCTTTGGATGATAAACATTTTCCATTTTATTGACGACGGTTGCTTACTTCCTCTCCGGTTACATTTTAAAAGCAGCTTTTGAGCCGCGATGTATTTATTCCCCGTCCTCGTAATCTCGAGCTGAAATCCGTCTCCCAGTGAACCATAACATGGATTTATCAGCACTTTCTGCTCGGTTGTGCAAGTCACATTCAGTAAATTAGGTCTATGGGTAATCTTATTGAGTTACTCAGCCATGACACCTCCTGCCCGGTTTCCTTCCTCTTTCATTCCAGGTGAGTGGGACGTTTTTCATAACCACACGACCTCAGCAGGATTCTCCTTTGTTCTCTGCTCTTCAATGTGTGTTTCTAGGCCACTCGTTATCGTCAAAGTAGCTTTTCAGTGGTTTAGTTCATTGAAGTCTGAAGGCGGGAGGAGCCTCACGTACGCTAAAACCATCAGTCACTCAACAATGGAACAAGAAGGAGACACACCGTTATCTTTAAGCAACGAAACGACCGTTATCTTTAAGCAACGAAACGACCGTTATCTTTAAACAACGAAACGACCGTTATCTTTAAGCAACCAAACGACCGTTATCTTTAAACAACGAAACGACCGTTATCTTTAAGCAACCAAACGACCGTTATCTTTAAGCAACGAAACAACCGTTATCTTTAAACAACCAAACGACCGTTAACTTTAAACAACGAAACGACCGTTATCTTTAAGCAACGAAACGACCGTTATCTTTAAACAACGAAACAACCGTTATCTTTAAACAACGAAACGACCGTTATCTTTAAGCAACCAAACGACCGTTATCTTTAAGCAACCAAACGACCGTTAGC